TTTCCAATTTTCAGTTATTTTATTCATTGCCTGTTTCAAGTTTTGTGTATTTGCATTGTGTGTATACAGAGAAGAAGGAAGAGCTTTCTTTAGAAAACGAAAGTCAATTCTAACCAAGGAAAGATGCGATTTGCTATCTTTTCAACAGTGTGATGATGCATCTCTAATTAGGGGCATCAGAAGAGTGTTGCTGAATGAGATCAGAGTTCCATCCAGTAAGTCTGATATTCAGTACGCAACAGCAACCAGGGAAAGATCTCAGGGAAGGAAGTAATGTCTCTTATTTAGTTTCCACAGCTGTTACTCAGGGATGCACGGTTTCTAAACCTTTTTAAAAGCCTTTTTATGCAAGCAGTCTGTGCTTGTGCAAACTGTGTAACAAGTGAACAGGAACCCTTTAGATTTGAGGCACAGCAGCTGCAATAATGTAGGAGAAGAGAGAACAGAAATCCGCTGCAGCTGAAATCTGTGAGTGCTCCTTTTTAACAATGCTCACCGTATGTGTGAGAGGAGACAGAGCTTGAAAACTAGTGCATGAATTGGCCCTCAGCTTTCATATCAAGTTAGTTCCAGGATGTTTTTGGAGCGGAAGATAGGAGCCCCTTTCAGATGTTTGTGAAGACTAAAATGCCAGTCTTGGCCTTTGCAGGAACAGCTCTTAGTTAATAGAAATTTGCCCATGGTGGCTCTTTTCTGCATGTGTTTTAAAGGGGGGCTGCTGCAATGCCAGTCCATACACATGTTGCTTTTAGCCCTTTCAAGCATATAGAAAGATCTAAGAATGTACTGTTTTTTCCTTTAAAAGCTAGTGCCCCCTAGCGTGTGGGGTCATTTTTCAATAGAGCCTACAATATGTGTGGGTTATATTTGTCCAGCACTGTAGATATTTCACAAAGATGGCTTCATTTCTTTCTTATTTTAAAAAGGAGCTTTTTAGATAAATATTTAAAAGCATAAGGGTGGAAGTGAGCTCTGTTATTCTACACATAATCCTAAAATGAATTCACCTTTTTGCCTGTGCCTGTGTCTTCTTGGTTGCAGTAGAATGTCTGTGTGCAGAGAATCTTGCTGGGGTTGCTGCTTGAATGAGTCACCCCTCCTGAACAGCAAAATTATACATGAGACAATCATGTTTTATGAGATCTTATACAAAACTAGAGGGTTGGAGATATACTGATACCATATATTTTGTGTATGTTTTCTGACTGCTTTCCCTTTTTAAACCTCCGAAGTCTCATTATTCATGCAGCCCATAGACTGCCCTACCCCTTGGAATAGCTCAAGGTTATGACTTGTAAATTCTGTAGTGACCTGCTGGATGAGAAGTAAGCTGACTCTATCAGACTACCAATATGATTCTGTTTTTGTTAATTTCATTAAACACATGGCCTACATTTTTAACTGTGCTTTATGGATGCACATGGCCAATGTCAAAACAGACCCTCTAAATCTTGTGTACTTTTTAACTGAAAGGAGTACAAGAAAGATTTATTGCCAATAGGAATATTGTCAGCAGGACTAGATGCTGCAGAAAAAGAACTGGCCCATTGAATTTCATACAAGGCTCAGGAGAGACGTTTGGTGAAATATGTTCATAGTTAGACTTGTGGCAGATGAACTGGTGGCAGTGCAAATAAACATAGCATCTAATGAATAAAGCATATATCCTGTGCAAAAATGGCCCTCTAGGTTACCATTAAAATAGAAATTATTCAAAGGTAAATTGAAGACCTGTGGCTTGATGTGTAAAAATGGCACTGTGAACCTGAACTCAGCATGGCTGTGCGGGTTTTTGCTGTCCAAGGGTTTGGCATTGCCTGGTTAGACTGAAATAATGGGCAGGCAGGGAAAGGGATTTTAAAAGTCCTGTCTATTTATGTATAGCAGAGTGGTAGAACATGTGTTTTTCATGGAGGAGCTCCCAGGTTTTATCCCTGACATGTCTTAAAAGGACCAGAAGCCTAAACAGGAGGTTATTTTAATTGCATGTCTAGTAGTCACTTCTCAGATTTTAAACATTTAATACTAGATGTGAAGGCTGGCATTCACTGGGGCCATAGTGTGTGAGGCAAGACTGATTAACCCTTCCCTCCCCAGCTGTGCAAAATCCCCTCCCTGTGCCACGATTGGCATTAGGAAAAAAGTTCCCACTGGCACCAATAGGAGACTTTTCCTTCTGATGATAATTGCAGCATGCACACCCTTTTACTGAAATCACAGCCAAGGAAATAAGAGTTCATTGGACTGATACCTCCCTGTGTGCTAAGATCTCGACAAACACTTCTGCACCTGGTATTATTTTTTTTAAACCCCTACAGTTGAGTCTACTATTCTTACAATATGTATAAAGGCTAGGTTCCCCTTCATTGAGCAATGGGAGGCACATTGGAGATACGTTACCAGTCAGCATTGGTTTAGGATAGGGGTGGGCAGTAGGGAAATATCCAATTCTTTTGCATTTCTGGCATTCCTGAGCAGTAGCCATACTAGCTGAAGCTTCTGGGAGTTGAAGTCCAAAACACCTGGAGATCTATCTTCTGTCTACACTCAAGTCTAGACAAGCCAATTGCCTAATTTAGTAAAATGCAGTTTCAGATGCTTATTTTTTATTTAGTAGTTTTGCAGAGTCTATGAGAAACTTGAGGAAGTAGCTGTTTTGTTATGACAGCAGTGTAGCCATGCGTACATACATTAAAAGAAACCCAACAACTTTAAGACATGTATACAGTAAAAATACCACTACTATTTACTGCACACACCCAGTGATAATAGCCATGCTGCCTCTGATCAGGAGAGGCTAATTTGCAGCTTTCCAGAAGTTTGGGCCTTCGGCTCCCACGACCCCTCACCATTAGCTGTGCTGGCTAGGGCTGAAAGGAGTCGTGGGCCTCCAAAACATCTGGAGGGTCACAAGTTGTCTACTTTTGCCTTAGTTTATGGGCAGAGATCCTCTGGATCCCTACTTGACCCATCAGCCCCTGGCCCACTTATCAAGAATGAGAAATTTCTGTGTGTCATTTCAGCTTTCAAAAAGCCTCCTCTTGTGACACCCCCCTCCCGTGTGTGTGTGTGTGTGTGTGTGTGTGTGTGTGTGTGTGTGTGTGAGAGAGAGAGAGAGAGAGAGAGAGAGAGAGAGAGAGAGAGAGAGAGAGTGTTTCTGTGTGTCCCCATGTATGCATTCCCAGCCAACACCCATTGTGGGCCTTAGGATGAAAAAAATGGTGCTTCCAGTTTAAAAATGTAAGAGGGAGCAGCTTATTTAATGCCAGCGAATGTTAATTTTGTTAAAGGATGCGCAGCACTGCAACTGTACTAACCTAGGCCTCCCAAAATAAAAGGTTACTGTTGCTGTGATTAGTGTTGCCCTTTGCTACCAGGACCCCGAAATCTGTTGGGTAGCGTGGCAGGCACTGGTGCCGATCAGCCACCCTAGCATGGATGCAGAAGCTCTCCCTGTTATCTGCAGGAGCACTTGTAACAGTGCTGTGACATGTGAGGAAGTACGTCCTAATATCTGGTTTAAAGGCACTCTCTGACCTTGTTTTGTTTTTAAAAGATTGTAACTAACTAGAATGGCAATTTTTCCCCAGAGGTGGGGGGAGGGATGTTGAATCTTTTCTTAGTTCTTTTGAATAACTGCTTTAATAGCACCAAATATACAGATCATTTCTCTCCGTCAGTTAAACGGAACTGTGCAAAGCTAGCAGGGGAAGAGGATGTGGAAGCTAAAATGCGATAAAGTTGATAATGTGGCTGCTTATTTCTCTTTGTGGTCTGCTGCTGTTAGAGTTGTGTTTGTTTTGCAGCTGGAGCAGTTCAACAGCAACCAAGGGAAATCACTTTCTGATCTTCACTGCCTAGTTTGTTTTCTGAGGACCTCTCCAATTGATCAGTGAAAAAATGCCCAACCCACCTTTTAACTTTGGAAAACAGTTTTTCATGTTTCACACATGTTATTCAATCTACACATTATGGTTTCAGGGGCTGGTGTGGCAATAAAGTGCTCTTTAAAAAAAAAGTCCAGGTACTACACAAAAAGTGCTTCCTTTCCTGCTTTCCTAGTACATAACAGTAGATGGCGCTGTGGTACAGTGAAACAGTAGAAAAACACAAGTAGAAAAAGTGCTTTCTTTCACTTTCAGAAATAATGCCACATTTTTCCCGTTCTTAAAAAACAATCTATGGATTAGCATTATGTGTGAGCCAAGTTAATGTTACTAAAAACAGTAAAATATTCAGAGAATGGTAGTGATTTCTTTGGGGAGAAGGATTATTGTTGTGTTTTTCTAAATTTAGGGGAATATGTTATACTGGAGTGATAGAACAGGGATTTGTTTGGCATTTTTCAATGCATTAGACAATAACCCTAATAAAGTGATGAGGAGATATAAAGGTGGAGGCCGAGATACATGCCCTTTTCCTGTCTGCTGCTCATTACCACAATCCAGAGATTGATCTGAAGGTCAAACAAGCACCGTAAGGTTGTTGCTGGGTGGTTCATACATTTTTTTTGAAATAAGTAAAGAGGTTAAGAGAGATATCTGTGCAAGGTTAAGCGGTCACATAATAAGAAGTGCTGGAGCAATGCAGGCATCCATTTGGGCACATTCAAGTGGCGTGAAATTCAGATTTCTCAGCTTGTCCTGTAGCATTTCAAGGGAACTGTGGCTGCTAAAACCACTTCTGCTTGCTTTAGTGTGATAGGCAATATCCTCACAAGCTTTCAGCTGCAGGTTTGCAGGTTTCCCTTTCCTGGTTCCAGTGGATCTTCCCAGCTTACTCATTTTCTCTGCTCAGCTCTCCAGGCTTTGTCAAGAGTAGGGGTTTTGTCATCAAAAGTAAGCTAGTCTTGTTCTCAACCATACTGAGATAAAATATGAGAAGCCCGGAGTTCAATCTTCTTGCACTCCCTGCACCCTGAATCACTTGTTTACACTGACATTCTTAAAGCCAAATGTATTTTGTGGAAGATGTTCAAAATACATTCATTTAATTTTTAGGGGCTCGTGTCAACGCCAAGGACAACATGTGGCTGACTCCTCTTCACCGTGCAGTTGCTTCAAGAAGTGAAGTGAGTTTTATATCCAAGCCTTGGGCAGGACATGCTTTATGTATTTCACTGGGAAAGGTTTAAAATATCATTTTTGGACAGGTAATGAAAACTACTAGGATCCAGTGTGTGTTTCAGAAATGGGTACAGTGTAAACATCCATCAATCTTAGAAGCTTAAGGTACTTGAAAAATGAGCATTGATGTATATGTAGTTTATTTAGTAGCCATGGAACTAAAGTTATGGCAAGGCTGTGAACCTGAAAGACTGGGGGAAGAGGAGCAAGGGGTGTGGACCAGAAGGCCAGCATGGTGTCCTCCAGCTGGGTTTAAAGGGCATGGGTTTGACTTTTGGTGCTCAGACCCCACTTCTCTTTGGATTTAGGATTTGCTTCTCGGGCAAGTTACTTTTCTTTTACTCTGAGAAGTTTGCCTTGTAGGAAACAAGTATTCTGACCAGCCATTCCCACTGTGGCAGCCATTTTGCAAGAGTGCATATGACATTCTCTCAAGATTCCAAATGTGCCCACAGACCCAAAAAGGCTGGAGACCTCTTGTTTGATATGGCCGGGCTGAATGTTTTTAGTGTTAGCTTTGGAATTTCCCATGCACAACAGGCTGTACACTGTGAACTGAATCTGTTTTTCAGGACATAGATTCATCATTATGTGTATTTGGTTACCTCAAATATGCCCCATAGATAAGTTTATGTGTTTTAAAGGCCAAGAGACTCCAAAGCAATAAAGTTTCTTCTGGGCTTCACCAATTCAAGTGGGAGGATTGCACATCTCCATGTTCTCCAAAACATACACCAGTAACTATCTAATCTCGTTGAGAAATCACAGGGGATGAGTGAAGAGCCAGATGACTGGAGGAGAGCTATTGCTATCCCTATCTTCTGAGAACAGTGGGCAGTACATGTCCAATGATGAGTTGCCCCCAAGGCATTGACTTCTAATTCCCTGATGCCTGCACCAAGCTACCTTATTTAGGTTTTCTCATCCCCAGTCTGGAGAGTTTGTTATTTTGCTGCCTGAGGCAAAGGACAAGATAGCAGCCCCCTTGCCCCAATTTCTATATATAGATGCTGACTGGACTGGCAGTTGAAATTTATTTCAGCCTTGGTGATAGGATGACACCTGAGGGCAGCAGGCTAGTTTAGGGGTGCAAGGCAGGCTTTGTGGCACACACAGGTCTTTTCTCCAACACCTTGCCCACTGTTCTGCTGCCCCACTCTTCCTAGGAGCAGGGCTAGCCCTGCTGTCTCTAGTTCCTCAAGAGATAGAAAGCAGTGGCTCAAAATAGAAAGGAAAGCAGATTTAGATTAAATAGTATGCAAGGTTTCCATGGTGAACAAATAGTTCAGCTATGGAATCAGGTACCTTTCAGAGACCTCTGGGACTTTTCTCAATGTCTAACAAAAGGCAGGAGAGGCTTTTATCAGGGATGCCTTCCATTGTAACAATTTGCATAGGTAACCAAAAGTCTCTTTGATGCACACTTACATAGACAGTGTGCATCGAAGCCAATGCCATGACAAATCTTTAAGGTGCTGCAAGACTTTGTACTTCTTGATATGGTTTATCTTTAGAGTAAACTTGCCTCACAGTGCTCCAGGGGATGACATATAGAGAGGTTCTCACTGAACAAAGAGAGAATGTTCTGCGCCTCTCTAAATATATGTAAGACAAAACAAAGATAATTCCAGGATCAGAGCAAACAGTCCAAGGTGGGATCGAGTTAGACATGTTTATGGTTGTCCTTGAAGGGTTGTTTCTACAGGAAAGGAAATGTATTTTATTGATAACTCTGACTTTTCTCCAGGTTTCTGTAGAAAAAATAACTTGAGAAAGACATGTTTTCTACATGACTGAAGCAGATCTGTGTTTAAGCACAGAGATTTGTTGGTGACACACCTCTTCATGATATGATGTGCTTTTATACACTGCCTAGTAATTAAACTTCTCAAGGTAGCTACTTCCAGTTAATGGATTGTGTCCAATGTTAGACTAACTTAAGTCCCAATAATTTCAATGGGTCTACTCTAACTTTGAATACAATCCACTGTTTAAAAGCCTTCACTTTGAGTGGCAGCACCACGAAACATGAAAGAAGAAGTGTTTTAACTGGTCAAATGACCTTCAACCGGTATGGCCAAACCCTGTTGGAAACATGAAGTGCTTCTGAGGGGGCATCTTTAGGGGTGTGAGTGTGACCAACCAGTCTTTGCTTGGCTACTACCCATTATAGTCCACTTTGCACAACCAAAAACAGGATTATAGGCAAACAGTTCAGATGAAATTAAAACAGCCTAAAGAGAATTTATGAAACAGTTCACATGAGCAATTTATGGAGAACTTTTACTTCAGAGATGGGGAAAAGATTACGCTTGTGTTCCCTTCCATCCATTTCTTAAGATACCATGAAGCTATTGTTTTGTTTGTATTTGTTCTGAAAGCAGCGTCCGGAATGTACCTTTTGTTCCTTTCCCTCTCCTTGCCTTGTCTCAAAGGTACAACTTAGTGAGGAAAACACAATATAACCAGGTATGACAGAATTTTCATCAATTCTAAGCTGCCATTTTTGTTTTCATTTTCATCATCTGAACATTGAGGCAATGCCACGCTTGCCAGTGAGTTGACTGCTAAAAGAGCCTTCTTTTTTAGAAGGGTTGAAAACTTGGCTGTTCTCCAGGGACTGATGGAATGGCTTCTGCAACAGTCTGAGCACTTGCCAAGCCTAGAGGCATGAATCCTTGGAGCGCATTTCTGAACTTGAGTATTGTTTAGCTACTATTGGAGTTTCCCAGCTGCTGGCTTCTAGCAAAAGTCCACTGAAAGAAATCTCTAATGGAAGACAAATGCTTGGAGACAAAGGGAGCAAAGTTGGGAGAGGAGAGAACCCACCAACCTTAACAGAAAGGTTAAACATCCACCTCTAAAAAGGAAAGTGGTATTGCCATGATCATTATGACCCAGAGGTTTTTTTCTCAAGCCAGAGCTGGCAATTTCTACTGAATATGACAGTCTGGCTGACTAGATAGCTTTTGCAATCTTTATAATATCCATCTGAAGCACAACACTATTGCTACTAAGTAGTAAAATGGCTGGGTCAAGCTGACATTGAATTCCTTTCTTTTTTGTATCCCAACTTTATTTCTGTCAGCACACACGTGCACATATATTTAGTGTTAATCTCCTTCACATGCACAATGTGTGAAGAGGTTCCACACAATTAAGAGGGCATTGGGGCCATGCTACAGGCACCACCTCTGAGGTCACTCAGCTCCCCATTCCCAACATCCATGCATATCTTCAGAGGCAAGCTCATGTCCCTAGGAGGTGGGGTGAGGAAGTCACGTGGCCCCAAAGCCAAGGGCAGAGGGAGAGCCCAGCTGTCCTTTCATTATATGCGCTCTTGTCACACAATTAATGTGTGAAGGAGGCATCACTGACTACAAATTAGTGCCTCAGGTAGAAGTTTCATATCATCTGGTGTCACCTCAGGCTAGATATGCACATTACAATGCATTGTCACTGCTGAAAGGACTGATCTTGCACCTCCTCCTCCTCCTGCTTTCTCCAGCAAAGTTTAGTGAGGAGGAAAATGAACAGGATGACAAGAGAGTTCTCTGCCAGCTTTCTGTTCCACTGGGCAATCCCTTGTGGCTGAGGAAATGCAATGATGGCACATAGGGAGTTCTATTTTGCTTAAGTGTCATGGAGGACAGGAGGAGTCGGAGTCATGGGAGGGTATAGCAATGCATCAGATATGATGCATACATCCAGCCTAGCAACAAAATGTTTTGCAGTGGTGACAGTCAATGCATTTTGTCAAGAATTGTTGAAGATTGGATGATGTACACATAAGGGAGAACAAGTCCATCATGGGGAAAGGAGGCCTGCAAAGCATCTGAAGCTGGGATAAAAGGAAGTGTTTATAGACATTGAGTTCCACTGGCATGTCAATTCATCATGGAAAATAAAAGTGGTTAAATATTCTAACTAGGTATGCAGGAGGTGAAGCCAAATGCATAATTATATTATGTAGGCCATGAGCTGAAAAAGTGAGTGTAGTTTCTTGATATTTAAGAACTGGTTCATTTTTCCCTCTCTCTCACTTATATAGCAATGTACCTGGCTTATATGTTAATCATAAAGAGGTAAGACTAAGGTAGTGACTTGCCCAAGCACATGCGTCCTGGCACCAAGCTAGCCATTGAGCAGAAATATGAATCGGAAAGATTTAAGCTTCTGATTTTTTTATTGCCTTTTGTTTTAGGTGTGTGCATTGCTTTTAAAATGAATTGAATGGGTCATTCAGTCTGAAACAAATGCAAAAATGTACCTATGGGAATCCCATTAAGGACTCTGATTCATAGCCCTTCTATCTCCACTTGTACGTTGTGGGAGTTGGGAGAATTTCCTAGTTCCTGCAGCAGTGACAATATCACCTGCTTGTACGGCTTTCACCAGGAGCCACCTCTTTTCCTCCTAAACTGTCCTGGATGTCTTTCTTTCTAGATTGGATTCTGGAGGGAAGTGGTTGTCAGCAGATCCTCTCCTCCCCATTTTTTTGGCATGGCCACCTTTTTTGTTCTCAAAATACCCAGAGCAACACAATGTTAAGGCCATTTTGGTGAGAAAAGTATGGCAGCTTCCAATAATGCCTACTATTGCTACAGACAGGAGCAAAAAGCAAACAAAATCAACAAAAAATAATCAACATGCATGTTAAAATAATGCAGATAATAAATAACAAAATGAATGTAAGTTGAGAGTGAGAGTCCTAGTAACAAGCAAATGGAATAACAAATTTAAATGGGGGTCTTGATTTGTTTTCTTTAGGTTCCCTTCTGCTTTTTGAGCTTTTCTACACAAAGTTTTTAAGTAGTTTTTAATTCACTGTATCTGCTTCTGACTTTGCAGCCAAATTAGAATCTGGTCCCTGTTTTTCCACTATATAACTTCTAGGTGTCACTGTAGGATTGCAGAATAGCATAACTACACACAGGAAATTTCTTTCACTTTCACAATTAAAATGCCCCATTTTTCCTGTGCTAAAAAGGCCTGCCAAAAGTGCTGTTTAGACACAGAAATGAAACTGGAGGGTCAAGATGTTATGTAAATAATCCATAAGCCACTGTGAGTAGGGAATGATGAATGCCCACTAAATGCCTCATGTAGAAAAGCCATCAGCTCAATGTAAAAATGCTTTAGAGATAATTCTCTACCTTGGTATTGTTTAACTACCCTCTTTTCAAAAGGTCATATGGAGTTGGTTCAACACCTGTCATCATTCTGCTGAACCAACAAATAATATCTGTAAACCAACTGAACCCTTCAGACTCTGTTTCTTCAGGTCGATTTGCAACATCTTCCTTGTCTTTTGCACCTCTATTGGCCTGTGAAGACTTTTAAATAAATTAAAGAATTTTCTGAGTCACATCACCAACAAAGTATTATTATTGGTAATCCAAGAAATCTTGCAAAATAGATGCAGTTGCTGTTCTTCATCATTGCTGGTGGGGATGAAACTGATAGCTGAGGAAATAAAAATATTGGCAGTACAGTTTATAACCCTAAGCATTCTGCTGGTGACTATCTTGTTAGCAAGTGAGATGATCGGAAACATATAAACAAAAACCCAACAAAACCAACATAGAATTATTGGACATTGTTTGGATAATGTTATAATATACAAACAAGCCTAAGAAACTATTTTATTTTGCAAAGTCATATATCAGTGAGTGCTGAGCTTTCAGAATATAGGATTCTCTTTAGAGAGGGAAATGTTAACATGTAATGTTTAGTGCATTTTGTACATATTCTGCATTTTATTATTTTTGAGGTACACAGAATTATTTTTCTACTAGTATTAAAATACTGATGCATAGAGGTATGGGGTATACAATGGTTGGTAATGGTAAAACAGCATCAGGCTCATGAGGAAAAGCTTATATTTCATATTTAATTACATTGTTCACATAAAATATGCACCCACTTATACTAGAAAAGTTCTTAATTCTAAATCTTTATAGATTACCTTTCAATAGAAAACTGTCTACCTGATAGTTTAGTTGAGAATGCTAAATATGATACCTGTCTCTTTGTACAATAGTACATAATATTAAGTACAAGGCATGCCATTAATTGATTACTGTACAGTCTGGGTTAATTGAGCAAGTATGTTACTTAGATTTGCCAGAATATTCAACCCGTGTCCTACTGACCCAGAAAGTAACTCTCAGTACAAATAGAATTTAAATCTGAATGAACATGCTTGGGACCATTTTGTAAACCATATATCAATATGAATTTATCCAAAAGTAGTATATAAACAGTTTAATTGTGACAATTCAACCAGGCTCATTAAAATGCTGGGAAGTGTCTCTGCCACCTTAATAAGCACATGGGTGATGGTGGCATATCATCAAATGTCTGTTTGATATTCATTTTCCTTTAGAGCAGAGGAATGGCATGACTATTATATAATCTACAGTTTGTAATAATACTTAGTAGTAAGATTTAACTGTGTTATCTTTGTAGGAAGCAGTGCAAGTATTGATAAAACATTCAGCCGATGTCAATGCCCGGGACAAGAACTGGCAGACACCCCTGCATGTAGCAGCTGCAAATAAAGCCGTGAAGTGTGCCGAAGTGATCATTCCACTTCTGAGTAGTGTCAATGTCTCTGACAGAGGGGGGCGGACCGCATTACACCATGCAGCTCTGAATGGCCACGTTGAAGTGAGTAGATTAATAAAATGGCTGTTATGACTTGAGTCTTTCTTGTCAGCAGTGGAAAATCCAGTTGCTTTACCTAGAGTTAGTCCCAAGCTGGTGCCACCATTGTTACATTGGTCTCCACTTAATGGATTGTGGGTAGCTTTGTTACCCATTCTTCAGCTTTCTCTGTGAATTGCTTGACAAGTCAGTTAATAGAAATTCCCAGTAGAATCTTAGAGCTCTGGCACAGAGCCATCACCTAAGAAGTGTCTCGTAAGTGTTGCTTACAGGTGGTTGTCCAATGATCAATGTGTACCATTTGTTAACTGTAAATAAAAATAATCTCTCACTGTGAAGGCAGATTCAATTCTAGAAGACACCCTGAACAATCAAAATAGTGTTGGAAAGGCAATAAGACTCACTCAGCAAATCAGTGATTGTGGGATTTGGATTAATAGGTTGTACTAATATTTTCCAATGCATTTTCTCCAGACTTCACTTATAGTTTGAAAAGAAGGACTTCCTGGCAGAATGCTGCAATTATATGGGTATATTTATATCTATGTGATCTAAAATGTGGATCTCATTACAGTTCAAGAATATAATAAAATGTTCTCACTAAACATTGATGGATTTAAAAAAGGTTGCAAAAAGATATCTCGGGATAGTGGATGCTTGGCATAAAACAATTATAATATGGGCTTTTAATGGTTAATATTTTCAGGAAAATATTTGGGAGGTTCTCTCTCTCTCTCTCTCTCTCTCTCTCTCTCTCTCTCTCTCTCACACACACACACACACACACACACACACACCCTGTTTGTTCATGCCTTTGAATGGACAAATAATCCAAAAGCCAGGATCTGTTGTACATATGGTATAATCTTCATTGAGTGGGAGTGCTGGCCACTTGTTATGGACTGGAGGCAGACTTCCATGCCCATGATGTCTAATACTGCCCCTCCTTTTATTTTTAATGAGGGGGCAGGGGCTTCACTGTTCTTCACCAAAAGCAGGCTGCATGCACTGGAGAAGGGTGGGATGAGGGCTGCCAGCTGTTTGCATGTGGAGCTGGCAGCTAGGTGGCTTAGGCCTGACCTTCATCTCTTCTCTTTCTTTTTTACACATACACAGATACACATGGAAGCAGCATGAAAATATGCAAACAAATTTACACACAGATATGCAAACACAAGCACAAGTACAGACATGAACTCAGCTGCAGCCCTCCTAGCTGATCAGTGATGGGAGTATTTGAGGAGCACACGGATTGGGGCCACAATCAGCTGTTCCCCAGGCCGATCAGCTAGGCGGCTGTGGGGAAACCTTTGGGGTTTGTGTTACCCATATGTGACTGGCACCCTGATATCCAGATCCTTTTGGTGATTTCAGTATGTGTGGGAAAGACCAAAAGAAACTTGCAAAATCCATTCCTCCTCCTTTCTCCAATTGAGACATGCCAGCAGAAAGCTTTAGGAGTGAGAAGCAAAGCTAATACTAGTGCCAGTGGTTGTTCATCATCTCAGAGGAGGGTCCAGGGTTCAGTCTCATGGGAACTTAAATTTATTTCCCTCAGTGAGGAGGGAGTGCCCCATGAGATTAGTGACAACAGCTTGTCTTTTGCTTGATGCTTGGGAATCTGGATATCCTCTGATCTGGGAATTCTTGCAGTTGTGTAAGGCCAGTGCTATCCTCTTTCTCTCTTCTTGCTTTCCACCTCTTGAATGAATAGAGAAATAAACTCTGCTAGATAAATTGCATTACTACTGCTAGGCTGCACAGTGATTTCTTTTAAAGGTAACATTTCTTCAAGAAATAACCTGTGCAACTGAACCCCACTTTTGAAGATTTTTTTAAAGCTACCTTGAAGGTCTACTGCTAAGATTGATGGAAAGCTCTAAAAGGGTGTTCATAATAATGGACACAATGATAATGTAATATACTATAGACACAAAATTGTGAGAACTGCCTCATATTCCAAAGCATTTTTTCACCCAAGTCTTTAACCACAAGTTCCCCTCTGACATACCAATCTGCATTAAATTGACTGCCACACTGTGCACAACAATTGACGAGGTTTTTGTTTTTTGTTTGCTGTGTGTCTGTTTGCTTTAGATGGTGAACTTGCTTTTGGCTAAAGGGGCAAATATAAATGCCTTTGACAAAAAGGACCGAAGAGCTTTGCACTGGGCAGCATACATGGGTAAGAAGGAGTGAAGATTTTACTCATTGGCAAAATGTTTCTAAGGCAGGAGACAATACAGCAGGGGTGACAAACCTTGCTCAGCCTGAGGGCTGGTTTCCATTTCATAGAAGCTCTTGCAGGCCATTACATTGGTGGGTGATGCTAGAGAGGGCAGGAGTGAGGTCAGAGGCTAAAGAGGCAGGGCCAGAATGCCAGCATATTTTAGCTTAAATCCTTTATTGACTGTAATTAAGCCTTGCATGGGGGGAAAAAAGCTGCATGAAAGAAAGGAACCAAGCTGATGATTAGAGGAGACAGGGCAGAGCTGACAACAGTGGTGTGGCCATCTGGGGAATCTGGCTTGGGATTTTACAGCTGAGGTTCTGCACACCAGCAATAGAGGCTAAAAACTTTCTCATGTACACTTAGATTTGTTTTTTCCTAAGCTAACTCCCTCCCCCGGGTGGTTGTTGCAGACCCTGATTGTTGACTGCTCTTTCCTGCATCTTTTCCAGCCCAACAATATCCTTTGTTGGGATGTGATGACCAGAACTGTACACAGTAGTCCAAGTGTGGTTGTCGCAGAGCATCTCAAAAGATTCCCGAATTAATTACACCTAGTGTGGAATTTGCCTTTTGCAGAGCGGCCACATACTGAGGAAACTTTCTCATTTAGCTGTCCACCCCAGCTCAGATATGTCTTTCCAGGTCAGCTGCTGCCATCTCAAAGCCAGTGGACAGAAGTGGCAAGCAGTGCTGCTTCCATGTTGCCTCTGCCAGGAAGGCCTGCTGCTGCCTCCAGCAGGGGTTCCAGTGAGCCTTACCAGCATTTGCCACAACAAAAGAGTTGGCTGGTCGGGTTCTCTGGGGCAGCTGCCCTCTGGAGAGCAGCACTGGACAAGGAAGTGGGATGCTGTGGCTTATTCCCCCCTGAGCTGAAGGCAAAGAGTGATCATGGTTCATGGTCTGAACATATGCTTACTCCATTTTCACTTCCTGATATAAACAAGTTTCACTGAGGTTTTGCCTGACTGGGGGTAACCAGTAGTGAAAAAGTTTTATTTATTAATTAATTTGTTAAAAATGGTTATATACTGTTGCTTCAGCACATTGCTCTCAGGATGGTTTGCAATAGCTAAACATTAAAACAGCATGAGAATAACCAAAGACCTATACAAGGATACAAGCAAAAACAACTATAATGCAAGAATAGACAATTACATATAAAACTACTGCAACCGATGATGATGATATAAAAAGATGTAGCGATTGCCACCAATTTGGACAGCTTTAAAGGGGGTTGGACACAGTCATGAAAGACTATTGATGGCTACTGGTCCTGATGGGTATATGCTACTTCTGGTTTCAGGGGCAAGATGGCCACCTGCACCAGTTGTTGGAGAAGTCCAGTGGAGGGATTGCTAGTGCTGTACTTCTGTCCTACATGGGGCAGCTGGTTGACCACTGTGTGAACAAAGTGCTGGACTAGAGGGACCCTCGGTGTGATCTAGCCTTGGGGCTCTTACGTTCTTACGCTACAGTGCTCTTAAATATATACAGTGTGTGCTGTTGGAAGTGAAATCAATCTCATGCCGCTGTCAGTTCTCTTAAAGACAATTGCCTGTCTGGTGCTTTTGTAAAATTATTCTGAACCAAAATGACATGCTGGTAGCAAAGACCCTAATTTAAGAAAATTTCACTGCCAGGGATCTATAGGTAATTCTCCATTTCCATTCTCCTGTTTCTAAGGCCACTTGGAAGTCGTTTCATTGCTGATCAGTCATGGCGCTGAGGTGACATGTAAAGATAAGAAGGGTTACACTCCGCTTCACGCTGCTGCATCCAATGGGCAGATCAGTGTAGTGAAACACCTCCTCAATCTTGGTGTGGAGGTAAGAAGCAATTAATATTATTTTTAACAGGCTAGTGAACACTGAATGCTGTAATTTAATCAGTATAAATTTCTCACTGTAGGGTCTTTCATTCTGCTATGAAATTAGATTTTCAGTGCCTTCTTAAAATTTATTCTTTCATTGACAAGTTTTATGAAGGAGCCCATTTTTGTCATCTGAAATGTGGATTTTCTCATCTGTCTAGGCCATGATACTAATATACTATAGCTATTCAGGGTGACAGGTTTAGGTGTGATTATCTTGACATCCTTTTGCTACCAGGGTTGAAATAGCAGTAGGAATACAGAATATCATGCAGAGAGATAGCACTGAAACCTATGATATACGTGTATTATATACCAGTTAGACTTCTTGAGAGTGAGGATAATCACTTCCCTGTTGACAGGCAGACTTTTTCATATTTTATAGTGGCATTCCCTCAGCTGACTAAATAGAGAATCATAGAATAGTAGAGTTGGAAGGGGCCATAAAGGCCACTGAGTCCAATCCCCTGCTGTTGCAGGAGATCATGTTACACCATCCCACCCAGATGGCTGTCCAGGTTCTTTTTGAATGTCTCCAGTGTAGGAGCACCCGTCACCTCTCTTGGCAGTTGGTTCCACTGTTGTACTGCTCTGACAGTGAGGAAGCTTTTCCTGATGTCCAGCCTGAATCTGGGTTACTGCAACTTGAATTGATTATTCCATGTCCTACATTTTGGCATTAGCAAGAAGAGATCTTGACCTTCTTCTTTGTGACAGCCTTTGAGGTACTTATGGAGGGATATCATATCCCTGCTCAGTCTTCTCTTCTTAAGGCTGAATATGCCCAGTTCCCTCAGTTTCTCCTCATAGGGCAGTGTTTCCAAACCCTGGATCATTTTTGTCGCCCTCCGCTGGACCTTTTCTAATTTACCTGCATCTTTCTTAAATCTTGGTGCCCAGAACTGGACACAGTAATCCAGGTGAGATCTGACTAGAGGAACTACTACTTCTCATGATTTGGAAGTAATACTTCTGTTAATGCATCCCAAAATAGCATTTGCCCTTTTGGCAGCTGCATTGCATTGTTGGCTTATGTTTAGCCTACTGCCCACAATTACTCCAAAATCTTTTTCTTGTTCATTTCTGTTAAGCCGCATATTCCTCATCTTGTATCAATGCATTTGGTTTCTTTTTCCAATAAGGACTTGGCACTTGTCCTTATTAAATTTCATTCTGTTGGTTTCAGCCCAGTGTTCAAGTTTATCAGGATTGTCCTGTATCTTCATTCTGTCTTCTAGGATGTTTGCTATTCCGCCCAGTTTTGTATCATTTGCAAATTTGATTAGCTTTCCTTGTACTTCCTCATCTAAATCATTAATAAAGATGTTGAAGAGCACTGGGCCCAGGACTGAACCCTGTGGCACGCCTCCATCCAATTTGAGAAGGTGCCATGATGAACACTCTTTGTGACCGATTTAGCAGCCAATTTTGGATCCACCTAATAGTTTTTCCATCTAGTCTAGTTTTTCCTAATTTGCTTATCAGAATGACGTGTGGCACTATGTCAAAAGCTTTGCTAAAGTCTAGGTAGATTATGTCTACAGTGTTCCCTTTGTCCATTTGGGAAGTCAAAAATGAGATTAAATTAGTCTGACAAGATTTATTTTTTATAAATCCATGCTGGCTTTTATTAATCACTGCATTTTCTTCAAGATGCTTGCGGATGAATTTTTTAATAATTTGCTCCAGAATTTTTCCAGGGTTTGATGTCAGACTAACTGGTCTAAAGTTCTCAGGTCCATTTTTTCCCCTTTTTGAAGAAAGGGACAACATTAGCCCTTCTCCAGTTGTCTGGCACATCTCCTGTTTTCCAAGATTTATTGAAGATGATAGCCAGTGGTTCTGAGAGTTCTTCCGCTAGCTCTTTTATGACTCTGGGATGGATTTCATCAGGCCCTGGATGTTTGAAAGTGTTTATGCCACCTAGGTATACCCTGACCATTTGTCTGTCAATCTTGGGCTGCCATCTCTCATTTCCAGCTTGAACTTCCTCTTGATTGCAGATTTCCTTGTGGGAGAAGACTGAGGTGAAGTAGGAACTGAGCACCTCATCCTTTTCTTTGTCATCTGTTATCACTCTGCCATCCACTTTAAGTAGCTGGACACCCTTTTCTTTCTCATGTCTTTTGTTCTGGATGTATCTGAAGAAAGCTTTCTTGTGCTTAGCATTCCTTGCTATTCTTAGTTCATTTTCTGCTTTAGCCTTCCTGATGCAATTCCTGCAATTCCTTGCTATTTGTTTATATTCTTCTTTCATGGTCTGGCCCTCCTTTCACTTCCTGTACATGTTCTTTTTTTCTTTCAGGCTGTCACTTAACCCTTTGTGGAACCACGTGGGCTTCCTCTGCTGTCTTCTACACTTTTTTCTTGATGTAATTGTTCATAGTTGTGCTTTGAGGATCTTCCTTTTCAAGATTTCCCAACCCTCTTGGACAGCTTTCCCCTTAAGGGTGTGTTGCCATGACACTTCGCTTATCATTTTTCTGAGTTTGTTAAAGTTGGCTTTCTTGAAGTCCAGGATGCTTGTTTGGCTCCAGTTACCTTTTATCTCCTTCATAATTGAGAACTAAAGTATCACATAGTCACTATCCCCCAGAGTTCCCATGGTTGTTATTTTGTCCACCAGCCCAGGTCCACCAGGGATTGGTTAATTAGTATTAAATTGAGTATAGCTGATCCTCTCATACCTTCCTCTACTTTCTGCTGGAGAAAGTTGTTGGCAACACATGTCAGGAATCTCTTGGAGGGGCCATGCTTGGCAGAATTTGTCTCCCAGCATATATCAGGGAAATTGAAGTCCCCCATAATGACTACATCCTTCTTTGAAATGCTGGTGAGTTGCTTTTCGAAGGTTGCATCTTTGTCCTCTTTTTGACTGGGTGGATGGTAATATATACCAGCAACTATGTTTTTCTTATTTTTTGCTTCCTTTAAATTTAACCAGAGGCTTTCAGTGGTCTACTAAGTCCTTCTTCTTGAATTCCTGTGCAGATGTATGTGTCATTCACATATAGTGCAACTCCACCCCCACTTTTGTCCTTTCTTTCTTTTTTTTTTAAATAAGTTTTATTTGAAAAATTATAATCCTAAAAAAAAACAAAAAGAAAACTACAAACATCATCCATCATCAAAAACATCGTGCCCGCTGGGTCAGCCCCCACACCTTTTTTTTTTCCATTTATGCTAACTTAAAAAACATATTTAAATCTATGCAAAGTCCCGTTTCTCTAGCCAATAATAAAAAGAGTCCCAAGTTTGATAGAAGTTTGTCCTTTCTATTTTTCTTGAACAGGCTGTATCCATCAACTGTAGAGTTCCAGTCATGTGAGTCATTCCACCAAGTTTCTGTTATTCCTATAAGATCATAATTGCCCTTGTGTACTATGAGCTCAAGTTCGTGTTGCTTGTTTCCCATACTTTGGGCATTGGTGTAGAGACGTCGAAGTTCACTCTTGCTGTGCCCTGGTTTTCTTTCTACAATTTTTGAGAGACTGGTACTGGGCCCTGCTTGAAGTTTGTTCTCTTTTGAAATATATGTCTTTGCCAGGTGATGGTATGCAGTGCTGCACATCTGCCTCCCCTATAGGTTTTAGTTTAAAGCTCTTCTGATGAAGTTTTTCATGTAGTGGCCAAACATCTGCTTCCCTTTCTTTGTGAGGTGCAGCCCATCATTTGCCAATAGTCCATCTTCCAGGAAGCTTAGTTTGTGGTCCCAGAATCCAAATCTCTCTTTACAGCACCACCATCGTAGCCAGTCATTTACTTGAAGAATTTTTCTTTCTCTAACAGTTTCTCTTCCACATACTGGTAGGATTGAGGAGAAGACTATCTGGGCCCCAGTGTTTTTTATTTTCCTCCCTAGAGATTTGAAGTCTGAAGTTATATCAGCAAAACTTCTCCTGGCAGTGTTGTTAGTTCCCACGTGGAAGAGAAGGAAAGGGGTATTTGTCAGTGGGTTGTATGAGTTGTGTGAACGTGCTGGATATATCTTTAACCTTGGTGCCAGGGAAACAGCAAACTTGGCGATTCTCTGGGTCATCACAACATACATGTTTTTTCATTCCACACAAGAGGGAATCTCCTACAACTAGCACTCTTCTCCTTTTGTTGCAAATTTTGCTCTCCTTTTCCTTGTTTGATTGACCTTTTGTCTCTGACAAAGAATTATTTAGTGTATTGCGTGGTTCTTTTACAGTGGGTTTCTCACACGTCTCTTCCTCAAGCAACTCGAAGTGGTTTGAGAATTCCACTGCTTTCACAGGTGCAGAGTGTTTTCTAGCTCTTCTGCATCTGTCACCCTGTTCCAGCGAGTTTTCTCATTTTCCCTTCTCTCAGGGTTCTCTTCTGCCTCCTCTGCTTGCAGTTGTTCTTCTTCCTTCTGGACTACATCTACATTTTGCAGCTCCTCCACTCTGTCTAGAAACTCTTCATTTTCTTTTATTCTCTGGAAGGTGGACACTCGCTGCTCCAGTGCTCTCACTTTTTCCTGCAATAGGGGTATGAGTGTGCAGCAGTTGCAGTTGTTGCAGGCACCACTGTGTAGTCTTCTTGGTGCATTGCTTGTGCCATCCCTTGCAGCAGGGGATTTAAGGTGAAGCAAAACAAGGGGAAAATTGTTGGGGACCTCTCCTGCCAAACTCCCCCACCAAACTCCTGTTGGCTCTCCATGTTTGCTCGCTCTGGTCGCTCACTCACTGGGAGCTTGGCTGCTTGTATTTCAGAGGCCCTAGACCAGCTGGGGCAGCTTGCTCTGATGTCCTCTGCTCTGCTTGGAGTCAGGAACCAGAATAGGTAGAAAGCTTTCGCCTAGATTGAGGTGGGAAGATTTGTATTTCTGTTTGTTGCTTTTGCAGCAACAAACTAAAAACAGCCTAGCTTCTCTGGAAATTCACATATTTCTGATTATTTTTCTGCAAAATTTCTAATGAATGCCAGTAAAAAAATCAGCCTGTCCTAAGATCCTCCTTGAAAATTTCTCTCAAAACATGGTGAGGAGAAGACACACATCTCTTTCAGAAGGTTTAGAGTACAGTTGACTTTTGAAAAAGCATATTATGACCTAAACCTTAGAAAAGCTGCAGCTGCACAGATATTCCTTGTTGAGGGTATAATATAAACTTGCATGCGCTCCTTATATATACTATGTAACTTGTATTTTCATTCTTTTATTTGATAGTGCATTCCTATGTAGACTGTTTTGCTATAGCTGTTACACAAGCATATTGGTGATAAATTAAGAATGATAATTAGTGAATTGTGTTGTTTCTTAGTGATCTTGTGATATTACGTATATTCTTTTTGTTGTCTCCATTAAAAAGTATTCAAACTAAAATATTGCATGGAATTGAGGAAAATTTCCATTGTTTTGTTTGTAAAAAGACCATACACTTCCAACAAGGGAATGTGTGTTGAAGTTTTTCATTTTTATAACAGGTATTTCATGATGAGTGTGTATGTTTAAAGAATTGGCTTTTTCATATCTCTTTTTAAAGAAAGATACAGTGTATTTTCCACTCACATAGGGTGCTTCTACGTGAAGTTTTTATCATGTACTCATCCTGCCCCACTCATGTAGGTCAATCAGGAAGGATATAACAGCTTCTTCCATTTGTAACCCTCCCACATTTTTCCACCAGGTTATCTGCATAATTGCTTCGACAGATAATTGCTTAAGGGTCAAAAGATAGAATAGCTGCACAGTCCCTAATCTGGAAGCATCTAAAACATTTACAGCAGATCTTAAGACTACCTATTTTATATTGGAATCTCTCTCTCAGAGGGGTATACATCTGATGGATTGCTATTTACTGGAGAATCTCTTTGTCAGTTAAATCAGCTTGTATACAGTAACAAACCGTGTCATGCAACTCTCCAGCTGTGTCAACATGCAGCGAGCAATGGGTTAGGCAAAACTAATGATCTAATGTCTGTGATTTAATTGAATGTGATCTTGTTTCATTGTAGATTGATGAAATGAATGTCTATGGAAATACCGCACTTCATATTGCTTGTTATAATGGGCAAGATTCTGTGGCTAATGAGCTGATTGACTATGGAGCTAATGTCAACCAACCTAATAACAATGGATTCACTCCCCTGCATTTTGCTGCTGCTTCTACTCATGGAGCTCTTTGTCTGGAACTACTAGTGAATAATGGAGCAGATGTTAACATTCAGGTAAAACAATAGGTTTCACACTTTTTAATTTTGATTGCCTGGGCTCGATCTCTGCTTCAGTTTGATATTTTTGCAAATTGCAAGTAAATAGAAGCGGAATTAAGACAAGACACGCTGTGCTTTGTATTTGGGTGCACAGATGAAAGGGTACAATATGTGTCTGTTTTGAAGCACGTGTGAGAAGTGCGGAAATTGAGGCAAACTATTCCATAACAATTTTGGCTTTTTGATGCTTTGCAGTCACTTTGTTTCTATCCCCTAATGTCCTGTGGGTGTAGGTCAGTATTAAAACCAGTTTGCACATAGAACACTGAAACAGTTCCAAGACATAGCAGAGCATAATGGACTGACTCACATGTGTATCACAATAAGCCACACTGAAAATAAGCCACGGTGGGATGATTGTTTGATCACTAGTCCGCGGACCCTGACAAACAATCAGGCAGTCTGAAGCTTGGGGTGGCTTGTTTCCCCTTCATCCTCCCTCTTGCTCCTGGCACATAGGCTGTGGTATGACCTCAGAACCTACATTCCTAGCGAGCACAAATGTGCACATTAGTACAGTAGAGGCATTTTTGTAGAGTTTTCCCCAGTTTGGGAAGATTTGTGCAAATTCAGTATTTGGCTTTTATAAAACTTCTGGGGAGATTTGCCAAAATTCAATGAAGCACTGTAGTAACTAGTAAATTTGTGCACATCTCCTTGAAAGGTATTTTTAAAAGTTATATTTCTGCAAGGTGAAAACAAATCTAAATTGAGGGGGAAATGCTGTCACTGTTCTGCGAGGTGTTGAAGTTAGTCATGGCTAACCTAAGTCCCATTTATTCAGTGGGTCTATTCTAAGTAGGATTAACACTGGATCCTATCCTTAGGTAGTCCAGGAAATTGTGTTGGAGAGAACATTGGATTTATGAAGAATCCATAAAATTAAGGACAGGTGGTAACCCTGTGGGTCTCAAGGTTAAAGATTTATGGTCAATTAACAGTCATAGTTTTGGGGGGATTTTGTTTTTGACAGAGTAAAGATGGAAAAAGTCCTTTGCATATGACAGCTGTCCATGGGAGATTTACACGTTCTCAAACTCTCATTCAGAATGGTAAGATGGCTCTTTCTAATATTGTAATATTCCAGTGCATTATCTTTTTATTTTTAAATTTATTTTATTTTATTATGAGTTACTGTCAAATGGAAAAAACTGATAGACTACAGCTAGTTAGCAATATCATAGTTTCATCTAGCATGTGCCGACCCGTTAACACTGTATACGGTACAACTCTTCAATGACAGTATGGATAGTAATGCAGTGCTTCACTCTGGTTAAGTTTTCTGGATTATATGGAAACATAAACCAGGGAAGAACCCTAGGGAGGCTGATTCATATCACCCAATGATTTTATTAAATTAGGATCTAAAGGTATTTACACAATTTTCAGCTGAGAGTTTAGGTGCAATAGCCGCACAATATGTAGCCATAGAGCAATTTGATTTTGTTAGAAAATGTAATATAGCAGACCTTAGAAAAAGAATACTTAAGGGAGATAATAATTCCATGAAAAATATAGAAATCCTTATGCCATTAACATGGATGCAGCTAAAACTTTTGATAAGCTGGAATGGTCTTACTTATTTGCCCTGAGCAAGCATACAGTGATGGGAGAGAGATGTAATTTCACGGTTTTCTGACACAATTATATTGTCAAAACCAAGTGATCATCAGAACAAATGAAACAGATTCTGTACCCGTTAAGATTAACTAGTGAACAAAATAAGTTTGTCCTCTGTGCTCACTACTTTTGCTTTCTCTGTTGAACTTATTTATTCATTGATAAAGAGGACTCATGCTGTTTCACAACCAAATCTAACTAATTTGTTTGCAGTTGATATATTTTTAACACAATCAGATCCTTTTAGCAATGACCATGCAGGTAATAAAAGACTTTTGACAAGGGAATGCAAATCAGCTATGAGAACTTTAGCAGATGTACGTGCATGTGTGTGTGGTTAATAGATGACAATTTGGTGTGTGTGGGGGGGGGACATTCATAACCTGCAGAAACTAAGAGCACAATTCCATGCATTTTTTAATGCACTGGGTGGGCTCTGAAGATAGGAATCTATCTTTGGAGTTGGAGTAGGTGGAGTCTTCTCTGACTTACAATTTGTTATTGTTCATTGTTACTTTGAAAAAGCCAATAAAAAGGGAAGAACCAAAGAGAAAAAGGGGATAATTCAAATACTTTCATCTAAATCCATAACTCAACAGCAGTAAAATCATAACATAACTGAAGCTCAATCGAGACAAGACGGAGGTCCTGTTGGTTGGCGGATCGGGCTTTGGAGAGGGTGAATTGAACCTTGTCCTGAACAGGGTTGAACTCCCTCCTAGGGACAAGGTCCGCAGCCTGGGAGTGCTCCTCGACCCGGAGCTTTCACTGGAAGCTCAGGTAACAGCAGCAGCGAGGAGCGCTTTCCTCCAGCTTCGGCTGATTCATCAGCTGCGCCCCTACCTGGAGTACGACTGCCTGGCAACAGTGACACATGCACTGGTGACTTCCCGCCTTGACTTCTGTAATGCGCTCTACGTGGGGCTACCCTTGAAGACGGTCCGGATACTTAGTTGGTTCAAAATAGAGCTGCCAGGCTGCTGACGGGGACTGGGCGTTATGGTCACATGACTCCAGTTCTCCGTCAGCTTCACTGGCTTCCCATTGAAGTCCGGGCCCAATTCAAGGTGTTGGTGATGACCTATAAAGCCCTAAACGGCTTGGGTCCTGGTTACCTGAAGGAGCGCTTACATCCATATATGCCCGGCCGCCCCCTGAGATCAGCGGGAGAGGCCCTTCTCCGGGAACCCTCCGTGAAAGAAATTAGGAGGGTGGGTACTCGGAGGAGGGCTTTCTCAGCGGTGGCGCCTAAGTTATGGAATGCGCTCCCCAGAGAGGTCCGCCTGGCGCCGTCGTTATTTGTTTTTCGGCACCAGGCGAAGACCTTTTTATTCAAGCGTCATTTTAATTGTTAATGTTATTTTTATTTTAAAGTTTTTTGGCCAGGACAACTTATTTTATACAGTTATTTTATACAGTTATGTGTATCTTATATTGTTATTTATGTATTTTAATTTATTTATTTGTAAGCCGCCCTGAGGCTTCGGCGAATGGGGCAGCATAAAAATGTTTTAATAAATAAATAAATAAATAAAATAAACATTACAAAGCCTTTGAAAATGGTTGCATCTTATTCAAGTATCAAAACAGCTGCTGATTTAAGAGCAGAGTTAAAACTATTTTATGTTGGCTCAAGCTCCTCAAATCAGGAAATGAGAACCTAAGGTTGATGGCTTAACCGAGGTGCTCTGTGATCAGTGAAATGTCACAAAAAGTCCTTGCTTACAGCTTACTCTCTCTTTCCAGTCCAAATCTAGATGTGAATGATGGAATGCCTGGGATGAGCAAAAATGCCCCACAGTGCCCCAAGCCTGTATAGTTTTATGCAACCGCTACACGTTATGGTATCATTAGAGGAATCCTCCTGTGAATTGACTTGTGCTTGTGTGTTGCATGTAAGCAAGCACAATTTGTGACATCATTACTGATCACAGGGTACATTTGCTAAGACATCAGCCTAAGTTTCAGATTTCCTGACTTCAGGGAGTTTGAGCCAGAATTAGAAAATCTTAATTCTGGTCTTAAATTGGCAAGCTTTTTTGACCATTGAATTTCCCTGTGTTTTAAAAAAGTAAATGCATTATTACAGTGTTCTGAAAAAAAAAAAAAAAAAAACCTTAAAACACAGTCAAAAACACAAACTCAAAACACTGACAAGTGAGTAGATGTGTACAAATGAATAGATTTGTCTGTGATTTTTTGGCATAACTTGCTTCTGAGTAAGCCTGCACAGGATTGCATTATAGATTTTCCCTTTCTTCCCTCCCTTCATCAGGGATCTGTCATTCCTGAGAAGGATTCTCTCAGCCTTTAAAATTACTGTACTCTTCTCTCTGGGGAGAGTTCCTTAGTACTTCTCCCTCACTGCCAGAATGCTGATAGGCACAATGAAACTGGCTGGCAGATTCTAGCTTCAGAGTGAAAATGAGCATGCTCAACATAATATTGTCAGCAGTTGCTGTCACAGGCCTTTAAGGAGCAGCGAAAACTGCTGCTTTGTAATTTCACCAAACCCGTGGAAGGCGCAGCTCTTCAACAAGCCCAGAATATGAAGGAAACATATGGTATGCCAAACCACAGCTTGAGTAGAAAGTATTAATCTGTCAGTCTTAGTACTCAACAGATTGGTTAGAAATTCTGCAGAATTGTAGACTGTACCAGGTAGATTATGGACACCAGTATTCATGTTACTAGCTCTAAAAGTGTCATTTTTCATGCAATAGGATTTTGAACCTTCTAATAGCAAAACCTTTCTTGTGGCAATTCCTGTTAATACACACAAGTCCTATTGAACTCAGTGGGGCTTACCTTCAAGTAGACATGCGTGGGATTGCCCTGTAAAACCCTTGGGGAACAAATAGGTTTTACTTTCCCTGTGAGCTATTAAAGGTTTGATGCCTCCTCCTTGTTGGGGAAGCTCATTCTATAGACAGAGTTTTTATGACCTATTAGTTTCCATTAGTAGGAGCTGACATGTTTACTCACCTAGACAATAACTTGCAGTGAAAGTGCCTTTTCATTTGTTTGTTTAAGAGCTCATCTCATCCGTAATGATAGAAATTCTACCTGCTGCTTTGCTTCATCTTGCAACTTCTTTCTTAACTGTTATGAATTAATGCAGTGAAGTGGAGCCAATTCATAGTTCAACATGACAGTAATAATCTACTGTGAAAGTCATATTGGCCAATTGTTCAGTTGCATGCTGGCTTCGCTAAGGGTAGTTTTTTCCTAACTATGTTAGTTGCTTAGCTGACATGGTAGCTGAGGATTTTGATAGAGTTTTGTGATGGATCTGGACAACATTGATAGTAAAATTAAGAAAATAGTGGAGAATGATATCAGGATGGGATAAGAAATTATAGCAGACATTGGCGCTATTACAACAAAGGCCAATATTGAAGTAGGTTTGTTCACCTTCCTTCCAGGTTAATTTAGCTTTAATATGCCCTACTACTAGATAGCATCATTATTTGACTCTCCGTGCCCACTCCAGATTCTTGAATGCTGCTGGCCAGGATGCTCTCGGTGTAATGGCATTATGGGGAAAGTAGTGAGAAGTAGCTACAGGGGTGCCATTACTACAAATTTTAAATTTGAGTGGTGATCCTTTTGTATGTTTTGGAGCACTATCAGGAGAATCTGTATAAAACAAACTCATGCACACTTAACAATTATTTTCCAACATTGGAACTCAATGAATGCACAGTGAATTACTTGTTTGTACCATCATATTGCATCATGAAAATGGTTTGCCTCATGAATAGTGAAAAGCCTGAAAAGAAATTGAACAATTTCTTCTTGTGCAGACTGATTTTGGAGGGTGATCTGAATATTTTGCAAGTAATGAGAAACCTCAGACCTCTGAATCACACTTTATTTAATCTTTATGCACTTTTTTGTTGTAAATGTCATTTCTAGGAGGTGAAATTGACTGTATTGATAAGGATGGCAACACACCTCTCCATGTGGCTGCAAGATACGGGCATGAGCTTTTGATTAACACCCTAATAACCAGTGGAGCTGATGCTGCCAAGTAGGTTGCTGAAGAAATACTGCTCATAGCTGTCAGATTAGATGGATAATGCGTGTATCTCTTTTTGTCCATGTAGCAATGATGGCATGAGTTTTGCTGCAGCTAGGCTTGCATATAACAGTAGAACACACAACCATATGGATTCTGTGCCTGCTAGAGGCAATTTATCAAAGGCTCCAAATTACTGGTGGCATTAAATAAAAGTTGCTAAAAACCATGTTAAGACAGAACAGTATGTGCTAAAATATCATCAACTGAAATAAGTGGGTTTCCTAGTTTACATTAATTCAATTATATCCCATATGTCCAAACTTAATTTAATCATGGCTTATTATTGTTTGGATTGTAAAACCTGAGAACTTTTTCTGTTTTTCTTTTTGGTGGAAAATGAAAAATTGTATGTTTAGATGCTGTCTCTGGATCTGAATATGACCCTTCTGAGAATTATGGGGTTTTCTGGACTGTTCTTTTATAAGATTTAATCTATTTATGTTCTCTGCTCTTAAGGTAAAAATGGACATCAGCAAGAGAAAAAGGTTCAGCAACCTGGGTTATCCACTCAAAAATTTCTATTACACACTTCAGTAGCCTGTATTTTGATCAAATAAAACACCCAGTGAAATGCCCAGTGAAGTGAAAAGCCTACTTGGAAGCTTTAAGTTGACACCTAGGTTATAAGAAAATTAGCTGTCTCGAAATTTGAATCACATTTGCCAAGATCATATTGTGATTTTCTGATTTTTTTGCACTAGAATTAGGAAAAAATAAAAGATCATTAATTAAGAGAATTGGGTGTAAAAGGATAAAGGAATAATGAAAAAATCAAATGATGATTGGGTCAGCAGAGGGAACTCATAGTAAGAGAAAGGGTTTTTCAGAAGGAATGTTTTTAGGCTGTAGACAAACATCGGGCAGGTTTCCACATCTTGCTGAGCCACTCTGTGAATACGCCATGGTGTATTGGTTGTTCACTAAACAGCCCATGGTATGCCAAACAGATGATTTCAGCAGAACCTGTCTTGCTTTTGTCCCAATGAAAAAAACTATGAAAAAGCCCCTTTACAAGAAATTCCTGCCAAAAACCCTTATTAAAAGGAGCCAGAATGTTGACAGCTTGCTGTCAAACCTCCCTGCTCCTGTCAAGGGGGTGGCTTGCACTTTCCTGAGCACCTGGAATCTCAAGAAAGGGTGAAACAGTTAGAGGGACATGACAAGACCTCATAAAAACAAAAAAAAACCCTTGAGCATCTCACTGGGAAAGGAATGATTTATTGGCCACCTCCTCTTGGTGACTTTCAGTTCTCTTGACAGCTCACCTTTTGACAGCTTTCAAGAGAAAACAAAAAACAAAGCTTTTGCTAGATTTTCTGGGTCAAAGCTGATGCGGTATTCCTGCCACATCTTGACAACAGGTACACCTGGGGACATTGCCCAGGTGAGGCATTTCATTTTAAGGTTGCAGGTGTGTGCAAGTACACACTTGTGCAAGTCTGATTAGAATGTTTAAAAATGAAAAAGTGCACATTTGTGGCTCAAAAAGTGCTGGTGACAAAACACTGGCATTTCTTCCACAGTAATCTCCAAAGAAGGAAGATGAGTTGTGGGAGTCGGGGGGAAGCCACAGCAAGCCCAAAACAACTCACAGTTGTATTGGGGAGGGCAAACAAGGTTGGTCCTGTCATGGGTTCCCTGGGAAAGCCTCAGGAAGACCCAGGGGGAAGGAAGGGGGACAGACCATAGTGATCTCAATCTTCCTTTGGGATCACTGTGGGTTGTTTCTTGAACAACCCACCATAGATAGCTTATTCAGAGTGGATTGCTATGATGTATGAACTTGCCCTATGTGTTAGTTGACTGAACATACAGAAATTGTTTTAAGCCATCATTTACATCATGTAGAGTTGCTCTGCAAATTCATCTGATAGGCTAACTAGTCTGCCTGCCCACATATTTTTCTATCATGGAAGCACATGTCTTATCTGATAAATTGGTTGTTAATTGCAGTATCACTAGGAAATACATTCTTGCTTATAACTATGAAATATGCTTAGGTTTCCTTCAGATAGTGCTATACCAAACCGAGCACCCCATATTTATTCACTTCTGTGGCAACTGGCTTTTCCCTTTGCGCTTTATGAATTATTATTTTTCTTTATTATATTTATATCCCATTATATTTATATATATATTTATATATATTTCCTTTCAAGGAGTTCAAGCAGCTTACATAATTCCCCCTCTCCTCTAAATCTTATCCTCATCACAACAACAACCCTGTGAGGTAGGTTGGACTGAGAGTCTGTGGCTGGCCCAAAGTCACCCAGTGAGCTCCATGGCTGAGCAAGGACTACACCTGAGCCCCAAGTCCCGTGCTTGTAATGGTTACTCCACACCAACTTTATGGGAGGCCCATGAAGGATGGGCTTGTATCAGAGGCTATTCTATGTTTTTCAGATGTGGCATCCATCGCATGTTCCCCTTACACTTGGCAGCACTTAATGCTCATGCTGACTGCTGTAGGAAGTTGCTGTCATCAGGTAAGCGAACCCAAAAGAGAATGCCAAGTTCAGTGAATGTGGTGAATGAGCTGCTTCATGTTATAATGTTTTTCAAGATTAAAGGCCTGTTCTACTTCACGTGCATGATGTATGTGCTTATTTGTGCAAATACTTAACTCTTTGCATGCATATAAAACTCCTTCTCTGTGTTGTTTGTGCTTGCAATACACAGTGATTTTTTTCTTCCATGGTGGTTGAAGGGAATTAAGCTTGAATCAGAAATTCCCACTAGTTAATTACCACGCATGGAATGTTTCTCCTGACAGAAGGAGAGGGGATGATTTTTGCTACTTCCCTCTCCTTTCTCACTACATTCTTCTGAAAATCTGCTCCAGTGAAAATCTGCCTCCAGAAGAATGATGGGGTGGCACTGCTCTCCAGATGTATCCACTTGACTCTCCTTTGCTCTGTCTTGCCCAACTAAAAAGTCTTATCATCTGAAACTCATTTTGTATCCATTCCATTCTGTCCTCATTTGGCTACCAATACTGGCAAACAGCAATTCTCCACACTGCTAGGAAACTGCATTGATAATTTAAATGAAATGGGGGAGTGGGGTGATGCTGAAGCATGTCCAAGTGTCTATTTATAGGACAGCCTCTTCCAATGGCATCTCTCTTGAGCTCAAAGTTGGTTCAATAAATTGTGGAAAGAATGTGGCAAGTTTCTTTGAAATCTTTAAGGGGCCAGATAAGTCTCCTGGCTTTGTGAATGACATACCAGGCTTTTCAAAATTATTCTCACCTCCCCCCAAATTGCCCATATTGGGTTTTAGAAATGTGATCCCACATCGCATCATCCTGCCGTACATCTTTACCCAGATCATGGTCTCTTCTTCATGAGGACTTGGCTATTGTTGCACGTTTTCAGATAATAACATGGCAGTACAGTAGACCACCTGTAGGGACAGTTACTTTATTCTGAAGTGTAATGTAGTTTACCCTTTGTTCCCTTGAGCAAAATGTGGTATGTGAAATAACCCACAATTGTTTGAGTGTTAATTTTAAAAGCAAATAAGTCTAAAGACAGCCAGACTGTTCTCACTCCTGTACTTGTAGACATCTGTAGCAGTGCAAGTGTATCCTTCCCTTTAAGACCAGTGGTACTGAAAAGGCTGCATTGGCAGGGTGGAACTGGGCAGCTGTAAGACCAGATAAGAGGAACAAAAGTGGGGGATCCGTATGAGTTAGTTAGAGCTAAACTGTGCAATATACTATACATGTTGCCTGTAGTTTAGCCTCTCTTTTTTAGTTATAGGTAGGCATGCAGTGCAGGTCAGGACCACTATACAGGACTGTAGGGAAAGTGTAAAACTCCTCCCAGCCATGTGTTTTCTTAATTTTTCTACCCCTCCTTGCACAGGGGCTAAAAGAAGAAAAAGCTCCTAACAGATGACCCATCCATTTACTGAGTTGGTGACAGCGGTGTTGTTGTTATTATTCATGTGTGACTTAGTTTAGCAAAGTGTTTTGGTAGCCTTGTCGTTTTTCTTTCAACATTACTGCATGACTGCTTTGTTGAACTGAGGAAGCAACCATCCTTGCCTAACTTTAAAAAACAAAACATCCAGCACTCCAGAATCTTTTCAGACCACTCCAAACCTCTGTAAGTGGAAGAAAATTGTCTGCTCTATAGCCACTCCAGTCAATATGATGTCATAGATTTTCTCAACAGAGATGCAGTTAACAGTTAAACCAAAATATGTTATTGGTTTCACAACAGCATCAATTGAGTTTATGAGAAGACAGTTTAGGATTTGGTCAGAGATCCTAATAATCCCTCTATTTCAAGAGAAGAAAAAGGACAGAACTCTTTCCCTAAGCAACAGAAAAACATACAGGATTCATATAAAAGGAGAATCAGACAGGGGCATATTATCTATGTGGGCTTTAGGGGGATTTAATTTCCCCCGCTCTATTTCTGCCATTTTCCAGAGATTGGCCACCCCACCCCACGCAATGGTTGATTTTTGCCATGTTCTTGCTGCAATAAACTTTCACTGCCTTCCATAAGAAACATTTGCATTTTCCAAGAAAGTCACCCTTTCTTACCCTTATGCAAAATCAAAAGCCATCAATAAATAAAAATCCCATTTGATGCATGCTGAGGTAATCTCTGTGGCTCCCTTGTTTTCCTCTCAGAGCTTTCTGCCTTCATGCCCTGCTGTCATTTCTCTCTTGATAGCAATCTGCCTCATAAATGCCTGCTGCATGATTTAAATACTTATATAGCACAGGACTGAATGTGAAAATAGATTCTTTTTGACTTTATGGTGCTTCTTTATGTAGCTGCCAAGCTTGAGCAGCCACTGTCCGTTTCCATGACAACCTCTTGCTGACTACAGTTGTGTCTGCGTTTTTTTTCCTTTTTTCTTTTTTCTGACTAACTGATTTTTCTGTCTCTGCAATGTTTCTTGCGGTTTAACTAGGACAAAAGTATAGCATAGTGTCCTTGTTTAGTAATGAGCACGTGCTGTCTGCAGGCTTTGAAATAGATACCCCAGATAAATTTGGAAGAACGTGCCTCCATGCTGCTGCTGCAGGAGGGTGAGTAGTTTTGAAATTATACCAGCAAAGTTCTGTGCGATCTTAGTTCTGTGGTCTCTCCGCAAAAGAATTTGCTCCAAATAAGGAGTCACTAAATGACATTTAAAAATGTTTACAGGGGGCTGTGTTTTGTGGGGCTGTGCACAGGCACACAGAGATTTGAGGGGAAATAGCTCTCCCTACATGACAAACTCTGTGCTTGTTTTCCTGGGCCAAATACGAGTCCCTGCTATCTGCCCTCACACACTACTCTTTCCGCCCTTATCCACATCTTCCTTCCTTTTTTGGACATTGCATTCCCAAGCAATCATACAATGCTTGTGGTTGGTCATATTGAAAAACTCATCTGTAATGTCTGATCTTGTACATTAAAGCATGTGAGTTAGCCTTCCTAATAAATTGGCCTGGCTGCATATGTGACATGGGAGCAGTGCTGCATTAAAAGATGTGAGACCTCTGTGGAACCTTCTGCCTGTTTGTCTGTCCTTATACAGAAAAAGGTACCTCCTTCTCCAACTGTTCACCACAGTGTCGAATCCATTGCCCACCCATTTCTTCTGAATGGGTGCCTGGTTTATTACATTAAATTTTCCCACAGATGAGAACAGCTACTGCTGCTCTCACGTCATGTAATAAAGCAGTGGCTGCCATGACCTGAACTATATACAGTGCTTATGGGAGAGCCCAGAGTGCAGGCCAGGGACATTTTGTCTGCATGGGTGTTTTCAGTTACATACAGTGGAGTAGGAATCATATTTTCATAGTTGTCATTATTTATTGCATTTCTGTATTGCCCATAGCCAAAGCTCTCTGTGCGGTTCACAATGGGATCAGGAAACAACAACAACAAATACATAAAGCAGCATTTAAAACATTAGTGCTCTGCTCTTACTACAAGCCTACTTAATTAAACCATGAATAGGAATAAAAATTTCTGGTCCTGCATTAGAGAAATAAGTTCTGCCCCCTCAGAAGTGGTAGTAAGCAAGCATCCAGCACAACTTTTCTTTTCATCATGTTTAGGTTGGGCCAGACCAGACAAGCCCACATTTTGTTCTTTAATGTCAGCCAAATCATAAATTACCTTCCTGGAAAGCAAGTTGCCAGACGGGGGGAAGAAAATGCTGTTCATCCCACAGCCAACTCTCCCTTTTTAATAGACTGTGCCTTCCCTTTGTATCAAAGGCTAGTAGTAAACGAAGAACATTTACTGTTTCAGAATTTATGTGTATTGACTTGTTTTAAGTATGAGAGAGACAAGGCAGACAACACAAGATGCAGTTCTGCTGGTCAAAAGACTGATGGTACTTCCAGATGGTACTTCTGGTGCTGATGGTACTGATGGTACTTTTATTATAGTTCCTGGTACTAATAATAAAAAGACTGAGAGTGCCTACATATAAGCTTCTACTATGCCAGCACCTATCCTCATTCACAGAAGTTTAGCAAGTGGGAGGTCTAGATGCCATACTCTTTCAGCCATAACCCGCCCATGTTTCCCCATGTCTTCCTTCCTTTTTTCTTACTGCAAAAAATGTGTTATGGGTAAAAAGATGGAATTTCCTTCACAATGCCTTCTGATAGGTAGTGCTAGGAGACCTCTATCTTGAAGCATCCATTGTGCCGCTATTTTGCCTTTCCCTCCTTAATGAATTTGCTATGGTAAGCCAAAAGATGAAAGAAGGAGTGGGAAAACACAGGAAGCTTGCAAATGGAAGACAGCAACATCTGCAGCCCCTGTAAAATTCTGTGAATGAAGCAGTGATTGTACAGCAAAAGCCTTATTTGGAAGCATGCAGATATATATCCATCTGTTACATTAGAAATAACAACCACATCCAATTGATTTCAACATTCCCCTGTCCTTTGAAGACATAGCCCACTAAGAATTTCTTCTGCATATAATAAGCGTACTGGGCAGGTTCTCATGGCACAACAAACCACAGTGGTTTTTTTAGCATTGTTGATCTGTCATGTCATCCAAATGCCCTATTGTGGTAGTTCAGTGTGGTATATTTTGTTCTTACAAACCACAAAGAGAAACAACAGTCTGTTCTATGGTTTCTCGGTACCACAATGGCTTGTTGTGTTGTCTAAACCCAGAAAATACAATTCATCGTGGTACCAAGACCACAACAAGAGTGCCGCTTGGCAAGAGCAGACCACTGCCATTCTTGCCAAGTGGCTAGCCAGAGAGTGCCACTGACAGTTGCCATTTTGAGCAGCTGTCAAAGGTGACCCAACTGCACTGACCTCCTGTCCTAAATATCTTCTTTGCAGCAGGAGCATGTAATTATCTGGTTGAAGCTGGGAAGGGAGCAGCATCGCTCAGCTGACTCCCATGCCGCCCCTCTTTTGTGGGTAATGCACGAGTGAGAGGGGTCAGATTTAGTAGGGCAGCTGGATCCAATTGGCTGTCCATTCAGGTGATTCCCCTGCTGCCCCTCTCATGCATGAACAGGAGGGGTGAAAATCATCTGGGCAGTGGTGCCATCCCTCTCACCTCGCTCTGGGAGGGTCACCACCATATCCCAACCCCTCCAACAGGGAAGGTCAGAGAGTTAGGATTGCTCTCTGAATTGCTGATGACTGATTTCAATGTTTCTTTAAGGTTGCAGCCCTATACTCAATTACTTAGGTATAAGACCCATTGAACTCAATGGAACTTACTTCTGAGTAGATGTAGATACAGTGGTACCTCGGCTCTCGAATGTCTCAGTTCACGACTAAATTGGGTAGCAAACAGAAATTTCAGGAAAAAATTGATTCAGGATGCGAACTCTGCATTGGGTGACGATCACAATCACACCTGTCCCCCTCCTCCTAGTGTGCTCGCAATCTCACCCGTCTTCCCTGTGACTAAAAAAAATATCTACAGAACGGATTAACCTTATTTACTTTGAACCTTATGGGGAAATTTGACTTGGCTCACAACCAATTTGGATAGAGTCATGGAACGGATTAAGTTCATGAGCCGAGGTACTACTGTATAGACAGTGTGAAGAAAAGCATGTATAATGCAGCACTGCCCCAATGTTTTCTTATCCTTTCTGTCAATGTCCATGTTCACCAATGTATCTTAGCCTCTATTTATTATCCTTAATTTATATTTGTTATACTTAGATGATATTACAATTTCAATTTTGTATGTGATTGCTTTAGGCCAGTCTATAAATACAATAACTGTATGAATAAATGTTTAATTTTTTGATACAGTCATAGAATCATTCTGAAATGGATAATCTAATACACTTCCTTCCCCCAAAAAGAGTATTTTTCCCAAAACTTCTTTGACAAATGTGTCTTCAAGCTTTCCCATTTGTTATTTTTGTGAAGATCAGTTATACAGGATAATATATACTCCGTTGCTCTGAGCCACTAATGCTGTGCACAATCCTGTAAAAACCATTCAGTATCCATTTTGTACAGTGGTTGTGAATGAGGAAAGACAGGAAATACCTTTTGCAAAGGGTAGCATGTGGTGTGTGTGTAATAAAAACTGGCTTATAGTGTGCTCACGAATCCCATTGTAGCTTTTGTTTACAGTTTTTGTGGAGATCCTGATCCTACAAAACCAGAGATTATGATGTGGTGTGCGTACACAAACACGCACACACAACTTTTTACTCACTGAAAATAATGCAGCTAACATACTACCTTCACCTTTTAAAAAATTATTAGTAATGATTCAATATAGATTGTTCAATATTCTTTTTCCAAGCATAGTTGTTAAAGTTTTTAAGCAGATCAGAACTTTAATGTGGCACTTGGGCTCCATTTAAATGTTTAAAGCATAAGCATATTCTGCTAAGTAGCTATATATGTTTAATATGTTTCCATAACAACATAAGAAGAGCCATGCTGGACCAGACTAAGGGTCCATCTAGTCCATCATTCTGTTCACTGAATGGTCAACCAGCTGCCTGTGGGAATGAACTGAAATCCAGCAAGTTATTCTCATTATGAGCCAAAAATGTCCTAACTTTGTACAGTCCTTATGAGTTTTCTTTTTCATGTTTAATATTCTGATCTTAACATGGAAAGATTTAGCGGATTTCTTTGGAAACTTCTTAGTTACATTCATATTGCCTATAAATCAGAAGTCTAAGTATTGAGCTCCTCATGAGATTAAAGCTTCTGATTCCTTTCTTTTTCTGATTGCTCTGTCACCTGAAACCCTGTTGGCTTTTATAAATACAAGCTCTTGTATACACTGAAAGAGGCTTTTTGGCTTACAACTATTCATGCTGACTGGTCCAGAATATGTTCCAAGGTCATTTGTGTGTAAAGAAAGGATGTGAACAAACTGTTCTCTCAGCTAATAGTGTTTTGTTCTTATCGCATGTTCTAGTTGGTTTTTCATGAATGCTTAACAGTGGGACTTTTTTCATCAATAGGAAATCACTGTTTTATTTTAGTCATGCTTTCTTTTCTTTCCTTATCTTTTCAGTAACGTTGATTGTGTGAAACTCTTGCAGAGCAGTGGAGCAGATTTTAATAAAAAAGACAAATATGGAAGGTTTGTAACTTATAAAACTTCTAAAAAGTTAGTTGAAAGATAAGACATCAGCCTCCTGATACAGAAGCATGACAGGCCAAAATATCCTTGGCTGACAATCCTGTATCCTTCAAACACACAAAATATATCTTGCCAACATGGTTCTGCCCATATCTAGAACACCATGCAGAAATGTTCTACCTCCAGTTCCCAGATAAGGCCTGGCTGACTAGGTTTGGTCCAATTTCATATGACTGAGTTGATCTCTCTTTCTCTCCCCCTACCCCCAATCCTTAAGGAGTCTTAAGGATTATGTTACCCCTAATGGTACAAAATTGTGTACAAAATTCTGGTACAAAATTGGAGTATAAATGAAATAGATAAATAACAAATTTTAACAATATGAATGTGAGAGAATGAGAGCAAGCTGTAATACCAGTAGCAAAAGCTATTCTTCATTATGAGGTTTGTTTCTCTGCTTCAGTAGAATAAGAAATAGGCATTCCCTGTGGTATATTGCTGCCTGAAGTGTGGTGCCAGAAAAGACAGGTGCAAATTTCATTTGTTCTTTACAAAAAGCCCTATGGCTTGCCTTCTATCTTTTTGAAATTTGGTTTGGATTGTTGTGCTCTAGTTTTATTTTTTGCACACTGCATCAGTGTGCCAACACAGAAAGGCTCTTGCCATTTCTCCTGCATCCATATTTTCACTGTCAGGGAGATTGACTCATGTGCCTTTGTTATACCTTAGGTTGCTTCCAGACAAAGTTTTTATTATGTAATTGCAGAATATTGTGGGGCCATGTTTCCATACTAATGTAGTTTTCCCAACATTCCTCAGTTGTTTTTCTTTCCAGAAAAGCTCCATTAAGGAGGAAAAAAACAGGATAGCTACACAATGCCTCTTGGTTGGTAGCACTATCAGCTCTCCATCTGGAAGCATCCCTGATAAGAAAATGGCTAGATCTATGTTCTTATTTAGGCAGCTCAGGATTTGAGCTTTATTAAAAAGAATACTGAGACTTCTATGCTGGGTCTGCCTAGTTCCCCATATGGGTTCTGTTCCTGCCCCAAACTAGTTCCAGGGACATTCTAGAGTTAGATCCAGGGAACTGGTGCTTTTACTCCCTTCTTTTGAGTGTGTTTTTTTTTTTTTAATTACTGTTTTTTACAACCTCCGTGTGTGTTGGGGAACAGGTGAGTCCTTCCTGCTCAGTTTCATTCAGTAGCAGCATCTCAGGGAAGTTTCTCTATGGACTTTCTCTTCATGGCAGGCTTCGGCTAATATTTTTTCCTATTATTTTCCTTTGGCCTAGAGTCCTTATGATTTTTGCATTTCGTTGATGTCTTTTTTCCCCCCTGCCCCGTTCTCTTGTACATTCCCTGTGCTTATTTCTAATCTTCACGGCAGGGGAAAAATATGTTCTGCTTTCAATTAAATGGCTGCTATTGTTACCTCGAAATGGGTTCTCCCTATAGTGATGTTGCTGTCAGGAGCAGTTAATGTAATGCATGCCATTATTCAAGTTGTGTCGGAGCTAATATGGTTCTATTTATTTTTCAGGACACCTTTGCACTATGCAGCTGCAAATTGTCATTTCCAATGTATGGAGATGCTGGTGACCACAGGGGCCAATATTAATGAAACAGATGACTGGGGACGAACGGCTTTACATTATGCTGCTGCCTCAGACATGGACAGAAAGTAAACAAGCTTATTTGTATTCCTTGTTCCTACTTCATTGCTAAGCTAGTGTCATTTCTATTCTCTTTATGCAAAATCTCATTTAAGCAGAAGCACTCCCAGAACCAAAGTATTCCTTTCCTCTTCATCTGTCCTGGAATTGCTTTGAATATTTGTTCCCACCTCCACATTGAGGCAGCTGTTGAGCTCATCATTTCTTTCAAGTTGCTGATACAACACAAATGTCCCAGTTTGGACTGTTCCTCATATCTTTTCTCCATATTTTTGTTTCCTCTCAAGGGTATTGTCTCATATTACTTGTGTGGTATGTAAACCTTTAAGCTAGAACCATTTTAGTTTTATAAGCCTGTCAGGAAAGCCAGATGCTTAGCTACTAATTTATGAAGCACCTTTCCCATGCACAGTAGATAGAAATGAGTGTGATTGCTGTTACTGGGGAAATGCCTAGGTTGGATCCGGACTTGTTCTCTGTGGAGTACCTCTGGAAAAGAGGTCATGTTGACAGTTTTTATGATCCTTCCTTCCTTGTGTCCCCGGCAAAGCAGCCCTGGAGGGTTGGAGAATCCTCCATACTAAGATGGGAGGAGGCATTTGGGGGTTGTAAGGGAAAAGGGGAATTGGCAAATTAGCACTATCAGATTAAACTGGCTGCATCAAACTACTCTGTCATACAGGAACATACTGTTAGCTTTCATTTCAAAAGATGTTAGCAAGATTTGATAGGATCCTTACAGTTTGGTAAAATTAAAAAATCCCTTTGGTACTCTTCATCTCATCTTCTTAAGCAGAGATGATTTCCTTTTCTACATAATATGTGGTCACAGTGGAAGTGATTTTTTTTACCTTGTGGCCTGCCAGGCTTTATCATACCAAAGGACTTGATCATTACCATTCTGCCTGAGATGCACAGGTCATCATAACATGGTACTTTATAGCTGGTTTGCAGAAGACTCCAAAGATGTTCTAGTGCATAAGGCTCCAGCAAAGATCCTATTGAAAGCTGTGCTTTTGAATGAATTATCCATCTATCTAAATTTGTTCTTAGAATATGAATATTAAAGAGCACTTGAAAAAACACAAACCTCAGATTGGGATGGAACAGATTTTCATAATGGTAAAACAGTCGATTTTTATAGTCACTGGGAGAAAGGAAATGGATAAGATTTGTGCTCTTTAAGGGTTGCTTCAATATATTTACTAATAGCAAATATGTATCTTGGCACCACTTGTGTATGAGATAGGCAGCTGTAGCCAGTCACAGCTGTCCCGACACATGCACTTTTTTGACACGTGAATCTGATGATGCTTGCACATGCTTCTGGTTTATGGGTACACATAAAATGTTTAATATGTAGCTGTAAAGGTAATGTGTGATAGAGGCTTTTAGAGTACCCCTGGGCCCCTCTGGAGACAGGCCAGCCTCTTAGCTGCACACCATCCCTCTAAGTCGGCTAGCCCTTCTCTCCTGACACCGCTTCATGGGGTCAAGGATCGTACCAGGCTTCTCTGGCTCCCAGGGCTCCTGTCCCACAACCCCTTCTGACAGTTGCAGACTCTGGCAATTCTCAGGGTCCACCTGAACACCTGGAGAGAGTACCCTTGAAAGAAGTCCTCCTGCCTCTTATTTATTTATTTATTTATTTATTTAAACATTTCTATGCTGCCCCTTGCCGAAGCCTCGGGGCGGCTCACAGCATAAAATAAAATACAATAAAATACAAAAATAACAATATAAAATTAACAATATAAAATAAATAACAATATTAAAGAAGTCACCCTGGCCAGATAAATAAGCAAATATTGTTAACAATTAAAATGACGTTTAAATAAAAAGGTCTTCGCCTGGCGCCGAAAAACAAATAACGATGGCACCAGGCGAACCTCTCTGGGGAGCGCATTCCATAGATTGGGCGCCACTGCAGAGAAAGCCCTCCTCCGAGTACCAACCCTCCATGAAAGAAATTAGGAGGGTAGGTACTCGGAGGAGGGCT